TAGCTGGACTCATCATTGTTTGTGATGCATCCCACCACCGCTGTATCATCTGCAAACTTTACAATGTGACAGCCTGGACGGGTAGCTGCACAATCATACGTGAGCAGAGTAAATAGGAGGGGGCTCAGCACACATCCCTGAGGAGAGCCAGTGCTGAGGGTTATGATGGAGGAGGAGAAGTTGTGAATCATCAGAGACTGAGATTTGTTTGTTAAGAAGTCTAGGAACCAGTTGCAAATGGAGGGGCTTAGTCCTAGTGTGAATAGTTTGTCCATCAGGGTTTGGGGGATCATGGTGTTGAAGGCAGATGTGAAGTCTACAAAGAGCACGGAGTCCTGCTCCAGGTGGGTGAGAGCAGTGTGGACCACAGAGATGACTAAATTATTATTTTATCATCTAATCAAAGTGTCAAAATATTTCTCTGAGCACTTATTTAAGAAACAAACAGGTCAGCACTTGTTGCACATGCTTTTTAGATCATACATGATGTCAACATGCTCATATTTCCATTTCTTTAAAGATAAAGTGTTTGTTCTAAATAAAAAGGTAAAACACTACCTGTTTTTGCAACATTTGGTTTTAAAACACATAAAATGAATTTATGATTTCAGAGAATTAGCTCTTCTTCCTCTCATGTTGGTTTGAAACCAGAAGCCTCAGTTGTTGTTGTTGTTTTTAATTTATCTTGAAATTTGTGTAACCTCAAGGTTGTGGTTGATAACTGCTTCAAATGTTCCTCAGTAAATTTTAGTGCAACACTGATAAACTCAAACATGACATCAGTTTTTCATTTATATGACGATGTTCTTGTGTTTTTTTGTTTTAAACTGGTACAGCGGTCATAATGACAAAAACAGTCTCTTGTTTTGTATGAACCTTTGCTTTTCAGTGAAGCAGAGCAATAAAGTTCAGACGTTCTGCTGTGGACCATCATATCTGTTCTCAGTCTTAAAATGTTTGTTAATTTTGACTGTTTCAGGAGAATTCATTGTAAAAACTACACTTCCACCATCCCAGCTGTGATGATCGTCTGACTACATTACCCACACTGCACCACCACTGGCTTACTTTTGTTACTGTTGTGTGCACAGTACTGATGTATTCTCTAACAATGTTTTATTTACATCATAAATCAATTCAAGACTAACTTTTTTTGAGTTTTTTCACTTTGAAAATGTTCTTACCCCCTCAAAGGACATAATTATAACAATTATAACAAATCCCATAACAATGGGATTTACCTGTTTAAGTAAAGGTTGAATGAAAATTATTTTATTTTGTGTGTCAGTATGAGCCAGTAGTTTTAGCATAGCACGGTCTTTGAGATTTATTTAAAACTGAACAATTTGAGACTCCAGACAGTATGAGGCAAACATATTTTATGTTGGTTCCTTAATTTTACATCACATCAAAATAAGTTTAGGACGTTAACTATGGGCTGAATAACTTGTATTATCAGAAACTGAATTTGAATCGATTGAATCTGTATTTATGTAATACGAAATTAAATCCATTGGTTTGAACATGAATTTAATGAGTTGAAACGGAGTTCATTTGCTTTGAATCTGTATTTTGTTGTATAGAAAATTCAGTTCAACTACTGAAAATGAAAGAAGTGAAACTGAATTTTCAATAAAAACAAAAGACGGTTTCAAAGTAAAATAATTCAGTTTCAATTTAGTGAAATTCATTTTCAAACGATCCATCCATTATCTTTACCTGCTTCTTCCTTTTTGGGTCGCGGGGGTCACTGGTGTCCATATTCAGCAGTCACTGTGTGAGAGTTGGGGGACACCCTGGACATGTCTCCAGTCCATTACAGGGACAGATAGAGACAACCATTCACTCTTTCTCTCACACCTAGGAACAATTTAGAGTTACCAATCAGCCTAACATGCATGTTTTTGGTCTGTGGGAGGAAACTGGAGTACCTGGAGAAAACCCACACATGCATGAAGAGAACATGCAAACTCCACCCAGAAAGGTCCCCGGACCGGGATGTGTACAGGGACGACCTGCTCACTGAGAGGCAGCAGCTCTGCCAACTGCTCCACCGTGCCACCTCACTTTCAAACCAGTGGATTTCATTTCAAATTACACAAATACAAATTCAGTCTGAGTGGTTCAAATTTAGTTTCTGATGGTGCAAGTTTCTGCCCATGTAAGTTAAAGTCTTATCAATTCAATTTATTTATATAGTGCCAAGTCCCAACAGAAGTTGTTTCAGGGCACTGAACAAAAACATTCACATACATAAAAAATCCATTTAGCTGTCAAATTTATCATTCATTCATTCATTCATTCGTTATTCATTCATTCATTATTCATTCATTCATTAATTCATTTAGCCATTAGAAAAGCCAGAAATCCAGCAGACAAGTTGAATCTTGGCTTCGTTGCAGTCTCCCATCCTGAGCAAGCACAGTGGCAACAGTGGAAAGAAAAACTCTCTTTTTAAAGGAAGAAACCTCCAGCAGAACCAGGCTCAGGACAAGCGGCCATCTGCTTTGACCTGATGGTTGAGAGGACATATAAGGACAGACAGACGAACACAGAATGGTAGGTCCAGGTATAGGTCCAGGTGTATCTGAAAGACAAAAAAAAAACACATGTTAAGGATAGAAAAAATAATTACAAATACAAAACAGGTTGAGCAGAGTAAGTAAAGACAGTAGCAGAGAGAAAATTGTGGTCAGTTTGTCCTCCAGCAGTCTAAGCCTATAGCAGCATAACTAAGGGACAGCTCAACCATTGCAATCCCTTAGCAAAAATAGTTTATTTAAGTGTACTACAAGTATACTTATTTTACATTAAAAATGAGGAAGTGTACTTGAAGTTTACTTTTTATCAACTTTATTTGATATACTTAAAAATAGTATAAAAATGTCCCAATTTAGTCCAAACATGTATTAAATCTGTATACTTCTAGTATGTATACAAGTATGGTGTGTAGTATACTTGATATACTTATATTTAACTTAAAGTATTCTTGCAAAAATAAACTTCAAATGTACTACTTTTTGTTAAGGGATAGTCGAGTCTAGATGTCAGAAATGCATGGACCAGATGTTTCTAATTTTCGTGACATTACGCAGGTAGAGGAAAGCTGTTTTGTTGACATTTTTAATATGGGGGTTAAAAGACATGTCCTGATCAAAAATAACACCAAGGTTTTTAACTTTAGAACGGGAGGTCAAATTAATGTCATCCAGAGAAAATGAAAGACTGCAAAATTTATTCCTAAGATTCTCAGGTCCAAAAACCAAAACCTCTGTTTTGTTTGAGTTTAAAAGCTGAAAATTAAGGGTCATCCATGTTTTTATGTCTTTAAGACATGCTTGTAACTTAATTACCTGATTGGATTCATCAGGTTTCATGGATAAATATAACTGAGTATCATCAATGAACAATGAAAATTCATCCCATGCTGTTTAATAACTTTAAGCATATATTTAAAGTAAAGAGTATTGGCCCAAGCACTGAGCCCTGAGGAACTCCATGACTAACTTTGGTGTATGAAGCAGATTAATTATTTATATTTACAAACTGGAATCTATCAAATAAATATGATTTTAAACCATTTTAGAGCTGTTTCTGTAATCCCAATATCATATTCAAGCCTCTGTAGTAAAAATTTGTGATTAACTGTGTCAGCCCATAAAGTCTTATCACTTGGAAACATTACCATTTTTATTTCAACTAAGTCTTTTCTTTATTATTATTATTATTGCTTTTGTTGTTGTTGTTATCATTATTATTTATCCAAACTATCAATATCAGAGTCAGAGTCAGAGTTTCTTTATTGTCATTCGCACCTCATGTGGTACATGTGGTGGAGCGAAATTATGTACACGGGGTCCCAGTTACATCCAACAATAAAATGTCTAAGAAAAACAGTAATAACATCTAAGATATGAACTAAGAAAAACATCAACTAAATATACACTAAGCACTCATAACATAAAACATTGAACATCAGCACAAACATGAACATGAGTCTGTGAGCAGATGTGCACACATGAACACATCAACATGAAACAGATCAGCAGCAACATGAAACAGATCAGCAGCAACATGATATGGTTTTTCACAGTGATTATTCTAGTTAGAGATTCATGAGTCTAACAGCCTCAGGGTAGAAGCTGTTCCTCAGTCTAGTGGTTCTACACTTAATGCTCCTCAACCTCCTTCCTGAGGGGAGTGGGGCAAAAAGTGTGTGTGCTGGGTGAGTGGAGTCCTTCATGATGCAGGTGGCCCTCTTCCTGCATCTGGAGGTGTAGATGTCTGTGATGGTGGGGAGACTGATTCTGACACACTTCTATTCCTTCTTTATTCCTAAGATTCTCAGGTCCAAAAACCAAAACCTCTGTTTTGTTAATATATTCAGTCAAGGCCCTTATTGTTCATCAGGGACGCGGCCCCTCAGCCAGCACCGCAGGGTCCCACTTCCATAACGGATCCTGGACCAGGACCACCAGGACCATCAGGACCCGCAGGAGGCTGCAGTTTGAAACAGATCAATAAAAATCTCAAACCAGCGTTGAGGAAGGTTCTGGGTTTATACGAGTTAGTCTTGTATATTAATCTTTGGAACGAACGGTCGAGTCATTCTGTTGTGTGTGTGACAGACGCAGACACACACACTCTGTTGCTTCTTCACCGAGACAAACAACCACACCGCTGCAATGCATTGTGGTCATTAAAGGTTCAGGCCCACATCTGGGCCACATCCACCCGTTCCACAACTTCCAGCTGAGCTCTGCAGCATGATACCAGTAAAACCCATTTATATCAATAAACACCAAAGTTCATGCTCAGTAACCCAGGCATAAAACAGTAAATATCAGTAAAGGTTGTTCAACTCCTTTAATAATTTTAGTTTTATGTGTGTAAACTCCCACCGTGTAGTGCATCAGTGCTTTCAACGATCTTTGGCAGTTTCTTTTTTCCCACAATGCATAGCGGCAGTTAGTTTATAAATAAATGCGCTGCGGCCATTTGGTCTTTTAGTTTGCAGCAGCCATGGCACGCGCTTCGGAAGGGTTTTGTTCGGCGAAATGTGTACGTATTTTACATCTATCTGCGTCTGTTGTCGTAATTAATACAACGACACTTGCTTTTTTTTCCTGATGACCTAATTTCGTGTTGGTTTAAAGTATTTCTGTTAAACGCTTCAGATGAGCTCGTGCGGACAACACGTGGTTAATGGTTTTAAGTTCAGGATGAGTAACTCGACTAAAAACCATCAAATGTAATTTTCAGAAGTCTCGGCATCAGAAAACTGATCCCCCCCGCAGATAAAACTAAGAAATATCAATAAATTAAAAACATGTAAGTTCCTCCTCATTTTAAACTAAATCTCATTTCCTTGGATGTAACTAATTAATGGAGGGAACAGTCACAGTTTATCACGTGAGAAATGAGGTTTGTCATTTTTAGAGGGATAAGTTGTGAAATACCTGATCCTGACTGAGTTTCAAAAAGTAATTTTATTTCAACAAAAGTTGTAAAAGTGATTCGGGAGTTAAAGACCGTAGATAAAAGTAAATTGATGCTTAGTTTTTAATGAACCTTGATGTGAACGCACCTGTTCTTATTCTAAATTATGAGGAGCCAGATCAGAGGTTCTGGACGGTTTGTGTTCAGAACCAAACACTGGAAGTATCTGGACTTCAGACACCTTCAGACCTGGACTTGGTGCGGTCAGGTGGATCAGGTGACAGATGTTGGTCTTCAAACATGGCCAGGTGTTTCTGAGGTGTAAGAGTTGAAGCTTGTGGGTAAGTACTGTTGAGGATCCAGACTGTAGACCAGCTGTGCACGTGGTGCACGCTGAAGTGTAAAACTAAGCACCACGCCCTCAAAACATTCATGGCTCGTCTTTAACTTTAAACCTTTTCTAAATGGGTTTTACTGGTATCATGCTGCAGAGCTCAGCTGGAAGTTGTGGAACGGGTGGATGTGGGCCTGAACCTTTAATGACCACAATGCATTGCAGCGGTGTGGTTGTTTGTCTCGGTGAAGAAGCAACAGAGTGTGTGTCTGCGTCTGTCACACACACACACAACAGAATGACTCGACCGTTCGTTCTAAAGATTAATATACAAGACTAACTCGTATAAACCCAGAACCTCAACGCTGGTTTGAGTTTTTGTTTGATCTGTTTCAAACTGCAGCCTCCTGCGGGTCCTGGTGGTCCTGGATCCGTTAAGGAAGTGGGACCCTGCGGTGCTGGCTGAGGGGCCACGTCCTGATGAACAATAAGGGCCGAAATGCTGGGTCCTGAAGTTCCAGGTGAGTGTGCAGCTGGGGCAGCCGCCCCCCCCCAGCTCTCAGTCAGCTGACCAGACTCCTCCGGTCTGGATCGGTGTTACAGAGCTGGGACAGGAAGTCTCTGTACTTGGCCTCGGCAGCACTGGTTCTGTTTTAGAGCCGGCTGCGGTCGAGCTGCTGCAGAGCGTGGCCCGGTGAGAGTGGCCCGTCCTGGACCCACGTGAGGACGGGCCTAGAACAGGGCTGCACATCACCACCTTCTTCATCTGACTGTCGTGTGGCTTGAGCTCAGGTGTTCATATTCTTTCTGAACTTGTCAGGTTGTGTCTGTCACTGAGGGATGAAGAAGCCAGAGGTTCTGCTGACCAACATCTGGAGGTGAGTCTGTTCTGTGCTGCAGCTGTGGTACTGAGAGCTGTGATGACTGAATCATTAACACATCATGCTGATGAAGCCTGATGAGCCGAACACTCTGAGCACGGCTGCAGCCTGCACCACACAGGGTCACTGGTTCTGATCCACTCATGGTTCTGTCTGTTCTGCAGCAGCAGGCCTGCAGGGAGCTGCGCTGACCAGCTGCAGGTGAGTGTCATGATGATGTCACTGAAATAAACAACCAATCATGTACTGCCACTGCGGAGGCTCCTCCCTCTGCTGTGGAATCAAACGGTTGGGACAGAAACTCAGGACTTTTGGCACAGGTTCCAGTAAAACCAGTTTACCAGAACCTGACTGAAGACCTGAAACACACAGCTGTTGTAGTTTAAAGTGTTAGTTTAATAATAGTTTAAAGTTTAACAGTTAGTTTTTCTGCTGACAGGTCGATCCAACTGGATGAACTGGAGCCGGTCCAGCAGCTGCTCAGTCCCAGATTGAACTGGACTTTATCATTTTCAGTTTAATACTTGGTACTGGGGGCGGCTGTGGCTGAGTGGTTAGAGCAGTCGTCCTCAAATGGGAGAGTTGGGGGTTCGATTCCACCGGCAGTCTCATGCTGAAGTGTCCCTGAGCAAGACGCTGAACCCCTCATTGTCTCCGAAGTGTCCCAGTGTATGAATGTGATCAGTTCAAGCTGCAACATAATTAATGTGTCACCATATACTGTTGTTCAATAACGGCGATATGAGCTTCAAGCACAATTTTGATGTTTCGATGAGATTCCAGCGTTTCACTGACGCTGTTCAGTTTCAACCCGGACAGAAAAAGGCGCCACACAACTAGGCAAGTGCGCGGTGACGCGGATGTTACCGAGCTCGAGTCCAGAAGGGGGTAGCAGGCGAGGCTAATCTCCAGTGTAGCAAGTTCCCTCTTCAAACTGAGTGACAGGACTCAGAATGTGACTGAACAAGGTTTCACAAGTAGAGAGCAGACGCCATCACTGATGAGAGGAAAGACTCATTTGGAGGCGTGGGAGTGGTTCGAACATCTACGATCTGAGGTTTGTGCTGCAAAATGAGACCGAGTCGTTCCAACTAGCCGTGGGAACACGTCCGAACAGTTTCCACTCGATCAGCTGAGTCAGAAGATGAAGCACAATAAGTTTCCCTGAAACAACTCCCCCAGCTCTGTCAAACGTTTGCTGCATGTCAGGTTGTTTAAAGTTAAAACTCAACTTTGTCAACATTAACAGTTTTTTTTGTTTGTTTGATGGTGATAATACAAATAAAATGTAAACAATAATTTGTTTGTACAGTTTTTGAGGCTTTTATATATTGTTTATATTGATATCAGAATTGTATCTTTGTCGATTGAAGTGAGCGAGGCCCTCGCCCCATCTCCCTAAACGGGTCGCTCTTGAAAAGGAGTTTGTGGCTCGAGACCACCTGTATGAATAAAGGGGAACCGGTTCAGAACCGGTCCGCCTGGTGGGAGACGGATGCTGCTTTCAGGAAAAATAACGTGTGGTTGTTTCGTAAACATTAACATTTGATTTACCTGCTGTAAATCTGCTGCTGATCATCACTGAGTAAAGTCGAACATTGTCGACTCTGTTCTGGTCCACTCCCCTGGAGCCGTAAATCTGTCGACGTATCCAAAATCCAGCTTTAACTCTTTATTAATGTGGTGATACCAAGTGGTTCTCATTAAAATTATGTGCTTTACGAGGCACACTGGTTCATAGGTCTTAGAAAAATACTTGACATCTGAGACGGGCTTGTATATTCAGAAAAAATTACTCATTTACATTTTTATAAATACTCAAAAATTCTAGGGAAACAAAGGCCAGCCCAACTAAATATCTAAACTATACAGTACAATTTACAAAGTAAATGGGCTGTAACCAAACAAAATAAAGATACCATTTAAAGAAGATGGAACTTAATCAAATAATTTTAAAAAGTTGCAGTCCAGACCCAGGTGTGTGGCCAATTACCCGCACCACTGACTTGAGTGCTCAGGGACCGCGCCCCAAACAATTTGTGAAGTCCAGTGAAGCAGCCACAGGGTCTGAGGACAATGAAGTAATCTTCCACAGGGACAATGGTTGTAACCTCAGTGGAGACAAAACCGTGATCTTCTGTAGAGACAAAGCAGCAGTGGTCCCAACCTCAGCAAAGGACCTGCTGACACATGGGTGATTCTATAATTGGAGATTATTATTGTTGTGGTATCCTCGTGAAGATATCATAAGATTGATTCCATCCCCAACCAAAGTTGGGGCTCGGCATGTGGAAATCCAGAAAGAAATATGGGCAGGCATTTCACAAGAATGAATAAAGGCATATATTCTAATCAAACCTTCAAAACAAAGTATTAGTTATAATGTGCCTTACAATTCAAATTCAATTCAATTAAAAAATACTTCATTAATCCCAGAGGGAAATTAAATGTTGTAGCTCATTTTCCTTGTTTCATAAGAGAGTTGTTCTAGATGTTGATGGTTGTGGGCGGGAATGATCTCTTGTTATGGTCCGTCTTATAGCAGATCTGAAAAAACTGGCCACAGATGTTGATCCGTTTACTTGCACTTGGTTGGCCTCCTGGGCTTCAGGATCACCTGAATGTTGGGCAGAAATCCTCCCAGGGCAATGGCCACTCCTCCCAGCAGCTTGTTGAGCTCCTCATCGCTGCGGACAGCCAACTGTAGGTGCTGATGGACGATCCTGTCCTTCCGCTGTCATGAGCCGTGTTTCCTGCTAGTTCCAGGATCTCAGAGGTCAGGCACTTGAGCACAGCTGGCAGGTAGATGAGAATGCGTCCACAAAACATCCTTTTCAACTCATTTGAGATATGGGGCTGTAGTTGAGATATTATTTGAGCTTGTGAGATGTTAATCGGCTGCTGTTGGTTGTAGAAACTGCCTTGTTGCCATGGTTACGCATCATAACAAATGTCCAAAACTTTAAAAGTTTCAGTAAAAATCCTTCCAGCTGCACAGCATCTGATACCAGAGGAAACAATCATCCAAAAAATGTGATTTACATCCAGAAAAAGAGGAATTAAAGTTTCCAAAAGCAAAATCTCAGAATGAAAGTAACAGAGCTGCTCCAACATGCAGCCACCTGGAGCGGCGCAATTCTAGAACTTCTAGAACTTCTAGAACTTACTCCTCCATTTTGAAAAATTCTTAAGGACTAAATACTCTTGTTCATACCTTTTTATATTACCGCGTGTCTTTTATACTGTTTTACATAACTCTGAATCCTTTAATGTTTAATGGCTCCATAATTGCTTTTTAATACTGTTTTCTTACCTGAATTTGAAAAGATTTATTTCACGAGTAAATGTTTTTTTTAAACTAAATCCAACTCCAAAGGAATGTTAAGAAATTGTTATTGTCCTGTCATTTCTGTTACTAAGGTCAACTTTGTTACTTCGATGGTCAACTCTGTTTATTAATATTTTTTACAAAAAAAGAGAGAAAAATGTTGTTTTTAATATTCTACACATTGTTGGTTGACTTTACCTGTGTTTTAGTATTATAAGCACAATTAGTATTTTAAATAATTGTTGGTATTTAATGAGTTTTATTAATAAAAGTTTGCTCCTTCAAAAACAATTCTGTAAATAGTTAAATATTTTTGTCATATTTTTAATGTATTTTGAAATTAAATACCTTAGTTTGAAGTAGTGTTGTGTTAGGACAGTTTATGTAATAAAATAGAGAAATTAGCCTGTTAGAATATATTGTTTTTCCAAAACACTGTCTATGTAGTCCATAACAGAGTTGACATATTGGACAGTATCCTAGAAGTTTTTCCTAATAAAAAGTAAAAATAATATGTAGCTAATGTTTGGCAAAGAGCAAATTATCAAAGTTTAACATATTTTCTATAAAATACCTGAAAAAAAAAATCTGAAATTAACAGTTTTTTTCTTTCATTTTTCAAAAGGCCAAATGTATCTCCAATTATAGAATCACCCACATACACATGCAGACATGCACAGACACAGGAGGAGGAGGAGGAAAGCAGCAAGCTTGGCCTTCATCCCACAAAAGCCAGAACAGCACGCATGACACGATCTGCTGCTCAGCCACAACCAAACCTCACACGGTTTAAGAGCCACATAGTGGGAGCAGGAAGAGGAAACCAAGTCCCAGAACGTTGGTTACGTACTGTAACCCCAGATTCTATGAATATAGGCGTAGCCCTTTAAGGCTGTTGCTGATGGGTTTATCCCGTTATGCGCAGCATAAGCACTGAAAAAATTTAGTCCACGCCCACCTGCTGTGTGGGCCCCACCCGGTCCGTATAAATTACGTTAAGAGTGGGAAATCGGCTCCCAAAATAGCTTTTTTCTTCAGCCTTTTAGGAGCCAGTGAGGCCCGACGCTTAAAGGGCTACGCCTATACTCATAGAATCTGGGGTTACAGTACGTAACCAACGTTCTATTTCATATAGGCTTCGCCCTTTAAGAGCTTTCGCTGGTGGGTTAAGGGTGAAGCGGATGTTGTCCTCGCCTCACTGGGTCCATTCGAACACCATAAGAAGTGCCCGATTGCCCACAAACAACATCTTGTCACTCAGCTCTCCATGTGCGTAAATATGCATTGCATAATTACGCGCACCATGCACAGACGCGCACTGCATAATTTACGCGTTCCGAGTGCATGAACGCCCCGGAAAGGTTTTCAACAGAAAAGAGGAGAGGCTGAAAAAGGCCGTGAACAGAGCAGATCCACGGCTCTTCAATACGAACATATTAATAGGGCTGCAACTAACGATTATTTCAATAATCGATTCATCGGCCGATTATTTTTTCGATTGATTGATGAATAGGCAAAAAAAAAAAACGTTTTAATTTTCACCCCTTTATTCCAAAATTGAACATTTGACTGACATAGCAATTCACACAAAAAACAGGTTACTATTTGACTATTGTGTTAGTAAAATATTGAATAATAAAAAATAAAAGTTAGTCAAATAGCTTGAAAAAATAAATGTACACAAAAATATATACAAATGTATCTTTATACCTGCACAATATGTAGCTACTTTGTAAAATGTGTCATTGAGGGAAGAGTGTAACCTGGATTAAAAGTGTGGATCATTGTAACCTGGATTAAAAGTGTGGATTATTGTAGTGAAACCTTTGTCTTCAACCATCGACAGAGACCTCGTGTCAGTTGTAGTGAACTTAATCTGGTGTCACGACTAAGCCTAAGGTCAAAACCCTTGACCTTAAGAACCTTGTGGGACAGAAACTGTCATTTCATTGATTTGAATCCAGAGATACAGGTTCACCCATCCTGAGACTCTCTTTCTTGATAATCAAGTGAAAGAACACTCTCTTTTTATTATCATTACTATTTTACAAATGTTGATAATCAAAGTGTATTAGTTCAAACCATTTTAGATGTTGCAGTGAACTAATCAATTTTATTAACTGTGTAATGATTTTTAATTCTCATGCAAAGTTAGAATTCATGTTGAGGTCTGCTACAGATTTTTATGCATTTTCTGACTTCTGCCTTTGAATGAGCAAGTGTATGTTTCCAGGGTCAGGAGTGAAGCAGACATGTGTTGGA